TGTGTGTGTATGTGAGGGTCCTAACCCCACCATACTGTGTCAGATGTTGGATACATGGAGTCACCTTAGTCCCCAAGGCAACAGTGGCAGCTGGAGACCCCCACCCCCACCTACCATACATACACACAGACAGGAAGAAGTGTCTGCTGCCCCCACCAAACCCACCCAGTCTGCGCATGGCAGAGCGAGGGGACACTCACACACACACATACACACTTACACGGACACAGATCTGATCTGAGCGGACAGCTCCTCACACTTCACTGTTTGGATCACCTCAAGTTGTGGGGACGGCATGGAGGGGGGGAGGAAAATGAGCGTCGCTCCTCTACAAAAGTCCAAATTTAGATTGACTGAGCTTATCCCGGGGCCTGCGCTCGTCCCGCTCGTCTGCCTGACACGAACAGGCCCTGCCACTAACTCGCTCTGCAGAGGAGCGCACCACACTGCAGCGCCATGGCAGCCAAGACACTGCTCTTGGACAAGAGAGGGAGGTGGGCAAGATAGGAGAGACAGAGAGAGAGAGAGAGAGAAAGAGAGAGAGAGAGAGAGAGAGAGAGAGAGAAAGAGGGAAAGAGGAAAGGAGAGCGTGTCAGGTTTGCTTAGGCTCCAGACTGGTGTTAGAATATGCGTGGCACTAATATGGCACCAGTATCTCTGTCCTCATCTCTGTTGTGTGTCAGTGCGGGCGATCGGGGGCCTGTCTCTCTCTCCTCTGACAGTGTCTTTTCGGATTACGTCGGCGAGCCGCTGCGAGCTCTGCTGCTGCCACCTCCTTCGCCCATCACTCAGCCGCTTCGTTTGAAGCCTGCCCTTTTTTGTCATTAATGCACTTGATGTCTATTTAAAAACTGTGGCCAGTGCCGTATCTGTTTTCCTGTCAGGAGATCATTGACAGCATTAATGCCACTTGTCCTTGCCTCATTTACTAAAGCGCTGACACCTAGCTGCAGTCTACCATATCCATCAAGTCCTCCTTTCTCTCTCTCTCTCTCTCTCTCTCTCTCCCCCTCTCTCTCCTTTCTCTGGCATTTCAGCGCTGTCCTGTCTTGAAACTGAGCTCCTCTAGCCGTCACTGCCAGGCCGTGTGTTCAGCTCCAGCAGCATTTCGGAATAGCAGGCATGAGGAGGACATTTTCCAGCAAATCATCTTTTGGTTTAGCCCTGAAATGTGTCTGCCTTCTTGTAAGGGCAGAATGTACGCCATAGGCAAATTCAGATTCCCTGTGTAACCGTTAAGAAAGGCATGCAAACCAATTATTTTTTTTGTATATTTGAAATGTAAGTGAAACAGTAAGACTACGTAGGCTTAATTATGAAGAATGATCCAATAAAAACATTACATTACTGTATCTTTCTAAAACAAGTAATTATTATGAGTACATCTATAAGAAAATCAAATATTGAAATAATGAAATATCAAAGTCTACTTAAAAAAAAAAATATATATATATATATATATATATATATATATACATATAAGTAAATCGTTCTCTGTGACCTCAATGCAATATACAGTGAAAAAAGAAGCACAAGCGTGTCAGTGTGAGCATACTGTTTGGGCTCATATCTTACATTTTACATTATTTTGTTTCCCTGAGGTCCACTTATGAAGTTTGTGTGGGTGTAAAGAAAAACAGTCATAATTCATTTGTACATGACCATTTTCCAGCATCTCTGAATCCCTTAGAATGAAAGTTTTTCTTACCAAACCTTTAAATCTAATACATGTAGATGACCTTGGTTTTGATTGGTTGTCTTGTATTGCCATGTAAACAGCATTGCAGGATGAAACACCTGTTATAACTCCAGTGAGAATGAGTGGGGCTAAGCTGATGTAGGCTGAGTAGGCTGATGTATGTAAATGCATTGGTTTTGGTGACATCACAAAAACATTTCATTCAAAACAGGCTATTTTTTCAGCTTAATTCTCATATGGACTGTCTGGGCTGGAGGGTGAACAGTCTGTTTTGGAACTTTAACCTTTTAAGGCAGACTCAAAAATGCTGCTGTTTAATGAAGTATTCTCTGTGAATCACATGATTCCTCAGTGCTGTTGTTACATTCTAGCAAAAGCCAAAAATATTTAGCTTGTCACGCACTACCTTTTTGAATAAGAAAACACATGAATATAAATGTCACATTTAGCTTTATGTGTTTTAATTATTACTCTTATTAAATAAATCAATAATATGTGCTTATTAATCCAAACTTTCATGCACTGTAATTTTTTTCACTCTGAATAAATCACAGTGCATCCAATAATAAAGGAAACCTTGTGCATATTTTATACAGTGATAGAAAACACAGTAGCACACCAACCGGAAAGGACCACTTGTACACACTGACATTCTGATGTTTTACTCTGGGTCACATGGACATAAACGCACCACTCATTTGGTGGTAGATTTAAATGATTATAAGAGGCCTTCTCCAAATTCTCAGAATGGATTGTTGGTGAGATGCTCAGTTCTATAGTTTTAAGAATGTTTTCACGCTTCCTTAAACTCTTTTATTATAAAAATAAGGAAAATTATTTTTTCAATGAGCACTGGAAAATAGTTTCTGTCATCATTATAGATAAAAATAACAAAATGTTTTGAAAGGCAGCACTTTTTGCTTTATCTGCAGAATGTGAGGAGGCTAGTGGACATGCACAAAATAAATCTTTAAACAGAAAACTTCATTCAAAACGTTAGGTCACGCTGTCGTGTTTGAAACGAGGCAGATTCGCACCAGTGGGTGATATTAGAATCAGCTTCTCAGCATGAGAGCCATGCCTGCTGCTTCTTTAGAAAGATTTATTCTCATGTTTCGGCCCTCCCAGAGTCTGTCACAGAATACACACTCAGCCGCACACACATGCACATTACGGCTGCACAATTTAATCGTTATTAACAGCAGTAAGGCTATGCATTTCCAGAGCACTGCAGAAATGCCAGTGATTTGGCATGCTGGGTTAATAACAACACTTACACAACATTCAGATTGGTCAGGGCATTCACTGCACACAGCAGAAATCTAGAAGACTAATGCTGGTGTGTAAATGTTAATACTTGATGGTGTTGCAGGAGATATTATTTGGACAAACATGCTAATTGCTGTGTTTCAGTATTAACTAAATTCAGAGGCTAGAAGTGCTATTTAAACTAATATGCAAGTGATAATGTTGATGCACACACATGTACAAATATTTTAACAGATAGATGTGCTCAGTCAGTGGAGATTAGAGTGATAATGACCTCTTTCTAAATATCTCTCACTCTCTCTCTCACTCTCACTCTCACACACACACATACGCACACAGAGGAAGGCAGGTTCTCTGCTTGTTATTGTCTAGACAGCACCCTCAGGCCAAATGTTGTCTTTCTGGTGTTCTTAGACTTTGAGACGAATGCGCTGTATCCCCTGACACACCGTTCATGCCAAAATTTGAGTGAGAAAATGACAGATTCAGGAGGCTCGCTCTCAGTGTCTGACAGGCACATATACATTTAATAAAATCATTGCAGGCAAAATAGCATTAGAATTTTAACTCTGGCAAAACTGCGATGTCTGTTCATGGCCAAGTGCAGTAATATAACAAGTAATAAATGTTTTGTGTTTTATTGATTAGGCATGTATTTTTTCTGCTTGATGTTTTTATTCTGAGATCTAGAGCCCTTTGTACGTTGTTTCAGTGTGTAATGAATATAGGCTCAAACTAAAGTGAAAGTATATGAAAGTATGTGAAATATATATGACGGCATTCTTGAGCATTTCATTTTTATTAATTTTAATCAAAACATCTTAGATAAACTCAATGAAATACTGCAGTTACATGCATTGGTAACAGTTATGTAGTAATCAGTAACACCACCCAGTAGATCATCGGTATGTGGAATAAAGCAAGCCACAAGAGGTGGTGTGTTACAGTGCTAAAAACACTAATGCTCAGTATACTGTTTAGCTGATTAGTAATTATAATCAGAATAAACAATTCTAAGCACATGAAGAATTCCACTGATTTCATTTTTCAAAATTCTGCATATTTAACCATTTCATATACTATCTGTCTGTGCAGTAGAACTTTCAATCCAGTTGCCGGCACTGTTCATGAAGTTTCTCTTAAGTGGAGAATTTGACACCAGACCACTCTGAATGACTTTGAAATTCTCTTTAAACACTAGGCTTTGACTGCCAAGCAATATACAGGCTATTCCATTAACAGCACAGATTTTTTAATGACTTTGCACATTAATACAGAATTCAGTTGGTCATTGATGTTCATATATAAGGTATTTTAACTTCAAACATTGCTCAGCCAGTCAGATTTTAGAACCTGAGTAAACAATTCTTAATAAACAATTTAATGAATACTGTAGTTACACGCATTGGTAACAATTATGTAGTAATCAGTAACACCACCCAGTAGAACATCGGTATGTGAATCAGGGCCCCTCAGACCACAATGTGGCTCAAATACTTGCAGCAGGAGAAATGTATACTTATATGTACACTTGAGCATGTGTAATAAAACATAACATAGTGTTTAGGAAGCAAAAAAACAAACTCCACATTCATAGTATTGCTCGTGTGCCTTAAGGTTCTGTTTTGGGGCATGTTTTAAATGCCGATACAATTTTATGCAAAAGACACTGTCATCTCTAGGGATGTTAGCTTTTACCCTTCCATTTGTTTGGAATACTACTTATGTTTTGGCTTGGTGTGGCTTGAAAGAAACAGAAGAAATGTCATATCTTCCTCAGATCTTCCACAAAAGCTGTTATGATGTTGATGCATAAACACAAATGTGCAGTACTGTTTAATTTCACTTGTTTAACTTGTCGAGTCTTGTTTGTGTTTTTTGTTTGTTTTTTTTTTTGGTTTTTTTGCATTGCGTTGCCTTGTGAGACCATGATCTGTCCATGCACTCAACAATAGGTAATCAAAGGTATTGATAACAGGCCAGTATGACATCACCCTGACATTTTGTTCTCTCTCTTTGTGTCTGTTTACAGGGGTGTTTGCCAAGTGCCGCTACGTCTACTATGGCAAGCATTCAGAGGGCAATCGCTTCATCCGCAATGACCAGCTCTGACAGACAGACAGACAGTCGGACGGACAGGCTGCCGGACGAGCATGCAAGGGGGGGCTTTATAAAGATATCCTCCTGCGTGTCTTTATAAATATACATATCGCCACATGCATTTTAAGCAGCCAAACACAGCCCTCTAGTGCCTTCTGCTGAGTGTGCCATCGCTGCCACCTCACATCGCTCTCTCTCTGGCTGAGCACTGCCATTCACACTGACATGATTGCCTTTAAGCAGCCCTACCCCTCTGCACTCACACACACTTACATACGCTTACACACACCCCACGCATACACACACACCAAGCCAAGCGCCTGTGCTGACAGCCACTGTTCCATGATGGATTGCCTCGTCCAGCCGCTGCTCTCCGCAGGTCAAAGGTCACACCTGAGGCTGCAGTGGGCCCACACGGACACAGAGGATGAGCCGCCCTCAAAGTCAAAGCTAAAGTTAAACACACAGAGAGACACTATTCATTCCATCTGTTCATACGTCTCACTTTGTGTTCAGAAAACAAGTGGACAAATGACAGCGTTAAGTATGAACTGTCACTGACGAACCTCGCATCTCCAAAGAACTTCACGAAGAAAGAAGGAGAGTTCTTAACTTTAATGTATGTTTTATTCCAGGTAGTTTTGGACCTTTTATGTGTCGGTGCGCTCCTCATGATACGTCAACACAATGTAAAGGGCAGCTGGTGTTTTTTTAACAGTATAAATAAACAAAAATGAACAAAATGGAGTTGCGAGGTTTTGATATGACAGTGATATTTTTTTTTTTTTAAGTCAAGTTTTCACTCAGGAAACATTAAATAGTCGCCAACATTGTGTGAGAATGTTTTGAACTGCTTTTTACCACTTAATCATAACCACTATTGAGATTGTAGTAATATTGTTTAGAATAATTATTAAAATAATTTGCTCTTAGAAAGTTGAACTTTTTCTGATGGAAAGCACTTGATGAACACGTTAAGCAGTGTATTTGCTCAAAGTATTTTTCGCTTTTTTTTTTTTTAAATTGAGGAGTGAGGGGCATTTTGCAGGCTCCTTGTACTGAGGCCTCTTGTATGCTTCTGTGTACGTGTGGTGATGTTAAGCATGTGTGTGTGTGTGTGTGTTTATGTGCTGCGTGAAGCTGGTGTGTTGCGGGGGCAGATGTTGCTGTGCAGGAGCCTGGAGGAGCAGGGAAAGTGGGAGGTAATGAGCTTTGCTCTCATTGCTTGAGTGCAGGAGAGGAGAGAGAGAGAGAGTGAGAGAGAGTGAGGGAGAGAGAGCAGGACTGCAGGGAGGGGGAAGAGAAGTCAACAACTTTCTCCAATCCACTTCTGATTGCCTCCTCATGTGGGTTTTGGACCTATTCACACCATTTTAATGACTTGCTCTCTAACTTTTGTTTATGGAAAAGAAAAAAAAGCCTATAACAGCTTGTGCTGTGTTTCAGAAGTGATGGCCAAAACATTTGGTGGAAGGTTTCACACATCAAGTACATTAGATACAGTATGCTTGAGAAATGTTTTATATTCAGTATTTTCTTCATGTTTTACTTTGAATGCTTCATTGTTTTTCTTTTTGAATATTGTATTTCGGATTTTAAACGCTGAACTCTGCACCAAAGCAAGATGTAATGGTAAATTTCACCAGGGTAACCAAAGAGCTACAGCATGCTAAATGTATTAAGTTGCCTTAATGTACACTAAATTATACTTAATCATGTCAATGATTTATTCATAACACTCTTTTGTTCTGTTCTAATTTAGGAGGGGGGCACGGTCCTAGTTTCCTTTTTTCTACAGAAATGTGCATTTTTAAGCATTTTAGATTGCAAAGATAATCTATTCAATAACATTATTGAGCAGAACATTAATCATTCTAATTATGTTACTTACATTAGCCAAAAATACAGTATTGTAATTGTTTTATTGGTAGTATGTGAAACAGTCTTTATAATTGATTTATACATACATGGGCAATTATTAAAATTTCTTAAAAAAGTAAACATTCATTTTGATGTGGACTTTCTTAACCCAGTTCCTTATGCATGTTTACCTCCATGTGATGTCCAGTAACGATTGATGTCCTGTTATTTAAAGATATCAATCTCATAACAGTTTGCGATTCTTTAGGAAGTGATTGAATACACCATGAAAGCTCCCGATTCATCTTATTACAATTTGAAAAATGATAACAATTCACAAATACATAAGTGATGGAACTATATACAGCAGTGGAAAACAAACAATACATCACACTCTTTTTTATTTTTATGTGTAAAGAAGCCCAAGAATCTGACTTTTTCCCAAAATTGAGCACATATTTTCTTGAATATTATTAACATCAATTAGAATTGATTCTAATGTTTCAAAATCAAAGTTGAACTGCCACCTTCAGATCATACATTTTTACACTCCTCCATCTCCGATGCTGATTGACTTCAGTTGTCTTGGGTCTACAGTGGAACCTCAGTGTTGTTTATGAATGAAGATGAGTGTTCTTTCTCCCGCCGCGTGGCTCTGATGGGCTCTGTGCCTCAGCCTGTTTAATTAGCGTGTGTTAAGTGCTCTCCTGAGTGTGCTGCCTCAGTGAAGCAGGGCTGAAGGAGATGCCGGTGATGCGGAGCATCAGTGTGTGGTGCATGCTCTGAGGGAAAGGTCACACATAGCCCAGTGAAATGTTTTTGTGTGCACTGGCTGCATGGCTCTGTCTGTGGGTCAGAGGCTGTGTGTGTGCGTGCATTGTGCATATGTTGGTCTGTGTGTGTGTGTGTGTGTGTGTGTGTGTGTGTGTGAGAATGTATGTATACTTGAGCATCTGTGTTTGTAAGTCTTTGTGTATGTGTGTGAGAGAGTGCAACATGTAATAACAATAATAAGAAGAATAAGAATAATAATAAAAATAATAATAATGCATTTTATTTATAATACACAAGCCTTTCATTTAAGTGTAAAACCAGCCAAAACAAAATTTAAGAAAAGACTAAATAAAACTAAAAGCAAAAAAAAAAAAGATTGTTAAAACTGGTGTGCCACACGGTTCCATTCTGGGGCCTTTGTTTTTTGTATATTAATGACCTCTGAGATAATGTTTTATATGCTGAAGTGCACTTTTGTGCTAAAGACACCATTACATATTGTTCTGCCCTATTGCCACTGGAGGCTTTCTCAAACTTTTAGAAATCACTTGTGATATTCAGAACGACCCAAGCACCCTAAAACACATACATAATGATCAAAAAACAAAATGTTATTCTATAAAGATCTGATAGAGATCATACTTGCTACAAATATACTCCTTGAAGCACACACCAACTGAATTTTTAGATTTTATGTTGTACAATAATCTGTCTTTCAAACTGCAATGTGAACAAAAACAAATGGTGAAGAACCTGAAGTTAACAGTCTACAAAAAGGTGAAGCACCTGTTTGACCTGTTGCTATGGTGATAATGCCTAGAGGTGTTTCACAGACAACTTGCACTCACTGGATTCTATTTATCATTTTGTTTTAAGAGTCATCTACAAAGCTTTTTTTTGGTCAGCTTCCTTTGTCTATATCTGTATTCTCATTAACAAACAAGACTCTGTACGCTCAGCATTGTACTGGTTATATTTGATTTGCTGATCCTACAGTACATTCTGAATATGGCAAGGCAGATTTTAACTATAGCACTCCTTCAACTTGGAATGACCTCCAGACTTGAAATTAGGGCAGTTTTTCTCCATAGGCTCACTGGCGCAAGAGATTTTACTACATTGGTTAAATAAAACAAAATTTAAGAACATAACAGAAAAGCAAAACAAAACATAGCATGTAACACTGCAACATTTAAGAAAGGGTCGTCTCTAAATAAATTGTCTGAGGGTCTGTGGAAACCTCAAACAGTCAAGAAAGACATTCTAAAGGTGATAAAAAAAAGTGTGAATTTGTTCTGGGAAGATGGAGAAAGTGGCCTGTGCTGGGCCTAAGTTATCAACAGTAATTAGGGGGTTTAAGAATCTTGAGATAATGAGATAGTGAGATAGTGAAATTCCATGAAAAGTCAAGAGAAGAATTTCATAGTCAATTCTGTAACCAACTGTAACAAAACTGGAAACCAGTGCAGAGAATGTATTGCTGGTATGATAGAATCATTCTTTCATACGTTCCTCATTCTTCAAGCTGTGCAATGTTGAATGTGTGCAATAGGCGTACAGTACTGTGCAAAACTCAAAGGCCACCCTTCATTAATTTCCAGTTAAAAACCAGCCAGTAAGTAAAAGTCTTTCTCTAATTCTTAATTTTTCTGTAGATATTTCTAAGGAGATCAAGAATATAGTGAAAATGGGACTCCTAACTACCGTGCTATACCTGGTAGACACCAAAACTGTCACCATCAGATTAACAGCACTTAAAGCTTCCATCTTTGAGAGAGAGGAGAAAATCCTCTGCTCTTGCTTTAGATCTGAATTATTCTACAGAAGACAACGATGTGGATCTGACAGGATGTGCAGCTATTAAGAAGCTGTTACTGATAAAAGAAAATAAACAAAAAGAACGTTTGAACACTGGTGTCTTCAGAACAATAGACTGACCACCCCAGAGTCCAGACCTCAATATCACTGAATATGTTTGGGATCACTCAGATTGTGAGAAGCACAAAGTGCAACCAACTTCTAAGACTGAACTTTAGAGGTGTGGAAAAATATCCTCATTGTCTTTGAGAAACTGAAAGCAAGTTTCTCGATAAGAGTGGAAGCTGTAATAAAGGCTGTCCAAAATGGAATGGATTGGAAGCTGCTGTAAAGGCTATTGTCGCTGTCCAAAAAAAAAGGTCATTTACATTGTGTGATAAATGGACCAATATAAATGCTCCAAAATTGCTTTGAATAAAATTTCTTTATATTAACTTATATTTAAAGTAAAGAATGTTGTGGCCTCTCCTATAAAGTTACCATTGTGGAGATACTTGTTTTTCATTGGACAGTGACGGTATGTCTTCTGCTTCTGAATAACTTGTACCTAATGATACTTTTGACTGACAACTGAATCAGTGAAGTCCCTGCCTTTTGCACAGTACTGTATGCTGCATAGTGTCTGTGTTCCTACAGGATGTTTATGTGCATGTGTCTTGTATTTTGCTGAGTTTGTGTGTTTCTACAGGAAGGTTGTGTTTATGTGTTTGTGTGTGTGTGTGTGTGTGTGTGTGTGTGTGTGTGTGCGCATTGCTCCTGTCGTGCTGCTGGGTAGCATGGTCACTAGTGCGGGCGTTTCTAAATGACAAGGTTTATTTGTCCGTGTTGTGATATGTTCACAGGAAAGTGCCAGTGACAGCCAGAGGAGGCAGGAAGAGGGAGCCACAACAAGTCCAACCCCCCCTACACACTCACACACACACACACACACACACACACCCACACACACATAAACACACACAGACTCACCGCACAAAATGTCATCTCTTCCCTGGCTGGCTCACCCAGCCATCCCCCATGAAAAGAACAGACATTTAAAACTTTGTGACATGTGTCAGAGACGCTGCCATTGAGCCAGTGCCGCTGATGTAGGCCGAATTGACAGCGGCGGAGCCGGCGGAGCTGGCTAGGGGACATACCGAGTTTGGTGAGTGTCACTTCCCATCCTCGTCACAGCCTCATCTCCAACAGCTCCGCAAATATAAACAGCATTAGGAGGGAGGTGCGAGTGCAGAGGCTAGACATATGCTGCCACACATGTGTGCTGTATGTGAGTGAGGGAGTGCAGGACTGTGTGTGTGTTGTGGAACGGGGCACATGATGGGGACTAATTAAGGACAGAGGAACAGAGCAACCGGTAGGCACAAGCTGTGACCTGAGGCAGCGTGTATATGCGTAGCTGCTGGTAAAGTTCCTCACTGGAGTAGCGTAGCAGCGGCAGTGACGAGCTTCAGCCCCCCACAGGCAGCTACTCAGTGCAGAGAGAGAGACAGAGAGAGAGAGGGATGGGACCTGTGTACAATAACATCACAAACTGGATGGAGGGAGATCACTTATGTGTTCTACTCCTGCTGTTGTGCACATGCCTACATCGTCAGACAGGGCTTCCAGTGCTTGCAGTGCAGGGAACAATAGAATGTAGTGAAGTATTTTAACCCCTTAAACACTTTGCTTATTATTCAGTTATTAATCGTAATAATTGAATAATATGTTAAGTGTATCAGGGGTTAAAATACTTCAGTACATTCAATCATTTAATGCACATACCTACATCATCAAACAGGGCTTACAGTGCATGAAATGAAAGAATGTAGTGAGGTATTTTGGTAACACTTTATTTGGAGTGGTCCTTTATAGATGATTAATAAACTCTTAACAGATTATCAGTAACACATCAACAACATATCAGTGAAGTGGCAGTATTGAGGCATCTGAATACACTGAAGTATCTTGTAGATGTTTTGTTGATACATTACTTTCATTAAAGAGATGTTAATATGTTGTTAATATGTTATTTCCCTAATGCAAAACCTAACCTTACTCAACCTTACCCAAAACCTAACCCTGACCCTGGCCCTAATCCTAACCCTAACCTCAACCCAGAACCTGATCCTAACCCTCATATGTTTTTAACATGTTTCTGAGAGTCCGTTGAGTTTTTGTTTCATCTAAAAGGACAACTCAAAATAAAGTGTCATCAGTATTTTAACCTTTCAAACACTTGGCTTATTATTCAGTTACTAACCCTTCAAACACTTGTCTTATTATTAGTTATTAATCTTAAAAAATATCAGTAGCTACAAATTATTCAGGAACTACTGTGAAACTAATACACAAGTTTTTATGAGAGTGAGAAATTACATAGTGTGCCCACAGGTCCTTAAGATTTTAAGGGGTTAAAGGGGAATTACACTGATTTTTCAAAATTTCTGCACAATGAAACTGTTAAGATGTAAACTAAATCATTCAGAGTGGTTTGACATGAAATGCTACATTGTAGAGAAACTCATGTAGTCAGAACTGATCACAACTGTGATGACAGAAACCAGACGTCT